CCCCCCCTGACTTTAAAGCTGGATCCGCCCCTGATCTGCACTTTTGAACTTGCGAACTGTTCAAGCCACATTGATTGGTTGCAGGTTCGAAGTCATCGTAGTTCTGGAAGGGGAGTGTCTGGTCACCTCCTACATGTCCAGGACCACCACATCCTACCTGAGCAGGGAAATCAAGTGGGGGCACATGTTTTCGCCTTGCGTCCGGTGGGACCCCGTTCAGCGGCGTTACATAGTCGACCACAAACGCTTCAATCGAAGCGTGGAAGTGGGGATTCCGCTATGCAGCGCTCAGCGCCTCGACGAAGTTTACGAAGATCTGGTCTATCAGAGGAGGCCCTACAGTGAGAGCGGAAGCAGCTCCAAGTACACGAGCCCCGCCACTCACAGCCCCTCAATAAACAGCCCCATTTACTTCCGCAAGTCGCATGATATCAACGAGCTGGAGGAGCTGGAAACAGTGGCGGACGTGCACCGGAACCCTGCCTCTGATGATGAGGACTCATCGGCTGAAGAAGAGGGAACGTTTATGGATCTGAGCCTCGAGGATCTGCAGAGGAGGGAGTTGAAGAGTTCATCGGAGCCTCGGCCGCGGACCTTGAGCGGCACCGCCAAGGACTTTCTGGCCAGTATTCAGCGCTATGTGAAGGAAGGAGGCGGCAAGACCAAGAGCTATGAAGAAACTGCCTTTTAAGGACGAATCTCTCTTTTCCTTTCCCTGGAGCTGTTTTATCAATACAGTTGCGTTCTAGGCGACGGGGTTGTTTATGTTCTGCAAAGTTTCTTCTGTTAGCTTGCCGATGTCGGTCCCATAAAGGAAGTCCAGATGATCGAAATCTTCATAAGGCAAACCTCATCCAGAAAGGTAGTTGGTTAAGGAAACGTTAAACTTAGGGTGGTCATTTAAGGAAAGTGAAGTTTATTGAGGTACCACCATGGTGCTGCGCGGATTTCCTCCCATTTTGATGAACATCCAGGCCTTTTATATCAGTTGGCTGGTGTTTTGGCATTTTTGCATTTTAGTACCTTTAATTTTTTGCATCATTTTCAACGAGCGGTCGCGCTGTTTTTCTAATTATTTTGATGGCAAACCTAATTACCAAGCACCTTCAAAAAGTAAAAAAACAGTCGAACGTCCAGTTATTCGGATTTCTGGTCGAAAATGTAAACACACGTTTTTGTAGGTAATTCTGAAGGCCGCCGAATAAATGCCTAATTGTTTAAATTGTTGAACAGTTTTGAACAGTCAAACTAAAACTAGCTAGTGAAACGTTGAAAACGCCAAAATGGTTAATTGATTATAATTCTTTACTCAAAATCAACTCGATGCACTCCCCATTCAGGCACGTGGCTGACATCGGTTTTCTCTTTCGCACCCATGGGAGTCTATAGGAGCGGCATCATGGCTGGCGCGTAGCTACGTTCGAACTTGATACCTTCACGGCTTAAAATATATAACTTTTCAGCTGCGCAAAGATTGAAAAAAAAAAACAATTACATCAAATTGGAATCACTTCGCTTCGTCGCAAAGTCGTTAAAACTAGTAAAATTTCTTGTGCTTCCCAACTAAAATTTGGCGCGTTTTCAACAGACCGAAGAACAAGTATGACATACAAGTATGAAAATCCAGGCAAGGATTTGAGTGCTTCAGGGGGATGAGAGAAATTTTTCTGTAAATCTATCAGTTCATTATCAAGACCTGCAGGTACAGTTTCCTCTGTCAGCTTGCTTACCCCGCTTAGTAGGTAATCATAAGTTCCCGCAATGTTCTCAGTCAATTAGCAACCAACCCGCCCAAAATACAGAAAAATGTGGTGTTTATCGCATTACTGGCCGAAATAAAAACACCATCTACGCCCAATAGCACTAAGTTATATTAACAAAAAATCCAGGCAGTAAAAGTTTGGCACCAGACAAGTTCCAGACTATCCAGAGCTAAATATTTCCGCCACTGAATCCAACAGCAGCGTCAATATTTTTCAAAGTTTCCTCAGTCAGCCTGTCGATGTTGATGCCATACATAAAATCCAGATGGTTGAAATCCAAATATGGAACCCGAAATTCGGTCACATTCTTCATCTGGGGCGCCGCTAGCTCCAGAAGCCTCGCATTGTTCACATAGATATCCGCATCTCCATAGTAGAGCACCACTGGAGCTGTGAACCTACTGAAGTCGTATGGATCAGGTTCGGGTTTGCCATAAACCTCCATATTGATGTCTTCGCCGTAGTCAAACGGCCGAAAAACCTCTGAAAGTCGGAAAGTTCTATCCAAAGTTCAGCAGAAGATGGGAGAGACTCACTGGAGCGAACTCCTTGCACATAGTGGTAGAGTTGCTTCAACGACATGCCAGCTGGAAAGTTTTCCAAGATTTTCGCCTTCCAGGCCTGAAACAGCCCAAAAATTAACAAAGTTCAGTTTCACTGCCACGAAACTGTGAGACCTTGTTGGGCATTCGCTCATTGGACGATCCAATCAAACTGAACAGTTCTGAGCAAAGTTTGTCATCCAGTAAGCACAGTGCTCTGAACTTGTTTGAAACAGTGGCGTGCGGAAACAGTTCGTACAAGTTTGTCAGCAACGCTATCTAGAACACCATACATAATGCAAAAGTTGTCACATTTGGCCAAATGTTCCTTTGAAGGCTTGGAAAAGACCAAAAACTACACACTTCAATGCAAAAAGGCCCATTCTTTGATTCCACCCAGTGTGTTATATAATTGACTCGATTTTATTTAAGTAAAACTCGATTGGCATTCAGAGACGCAACTGGCATCGGTTTTCTCGCTCGCACGCACAGGCGTCCATGGGGCGGCCAGACAGCCCGCGCGTAGCTGCGTTCGAAGTTGCCACCTTCACAGCTTAAACATATCGGTTTTCAGCTAAGGGAAGTTCAACAATTTTTTTGAAGTCAATTGAATCCCTTCATTAAAAACCTAGTCATCAAAACTAGTTAATTTTATCGAGTCTCTGTTGGCAATTTTCGGGCGGACAGTATGATAAAAAGTTGGACGTGTACCTTTTCGATTGGATAAACGATGGCCAATAGATTGAAGGGAATGCTGGTGGCTCCGCCCATTTCGATGACCGGTGCCCAAAAATTGGCCAGTAGGATTTTCTCGTTGTACTCGGGCCGTTCGGATGCCATCACCCAGAACTGGGTGGTTCCCTCGGAAAATCCCACATAGGGAATTTTCGTTTTTTGCGTTTGCATCAGGACGTAGTCGATCATGGCAGGCAGGTCGAACTTTCCCATTTCATGGTAGCTGCAGCCGGAAGAAAACCGGTGAAGAAATGCGCCTTTCCAATAATTTCCTCGATATTGCAGCGACTGTTTCTTCATAATTATTAAACCGCATAAAACGTGCAATTAAAATGCAATTATTAAATAATTTTTTCCTGTTGCGGTTCCAAGAATGTTTGCTTGCCTTGCCCTTGTGTGCGTTACATTTTTCAAGCTCAAGTTCATCGGATCGATGGGTTTAAGTGGAAATTGCGGAAAATTTGGAAAATTGAGTCAACAAAATCCAAGATGAAAAACCAAATTTTTCAATTCAAAGCTGTAAGACTCACCTGAAGTCAAAGAACTCCTTTCGATCAGTGACGGGGTCCAAACGAAGATGGCTTCTAGAGTATGTGTTTCCCCGGTTGTTTCCTAACCAAACATCATAACCGGCTTCGCTCAGCACGAACGCCAATGATTTTTCCCTGGTTACCACCCAATCAGCTGAACTGAGCAGCAGGCCATGAACCAATAGGATCGGCCCTTTGGACGCACTTGTTTCCTTCCCATTGTGCGGAATCCGGTGCATGTTCAGAATATATCCATCCTCAGTGGTCACTGTGTGGATTTCCACTGGATATCCAGCCTCCTTGATGATGTCGATCTGGAAAACCTCATCCATAGAGGCGATGGGCGAAGGAAAAGCTTGACTTACAGCGGTGTTTTCGGGAAAATGAAATAAATCCCCTGTGAGGTTGTTGAGGAGGACAGCAACCAATTGAACAATCGAAGTGAGAACTTCTGGTACCACCATGGTTTCGAGTGGGTTTCCTGCCGGTTCCAAACCAGCAGGACTTTTTATAGGCACGAGCGACAGCCTTTGAAAGTCACGAGCAAATTTTTAGTATGAGTTTAACGATTTCGTGTACTTGCCTTATCTTGCAGGTGGCCGTGAAAAGACAGTTTGACCGAAATTTTCACACTCTGCTTCCAAGGTATATAAACACACATTTTTAGCATACAGAGTGTCCGAATATCATGCACAGAAAGGTCACCGATTTTGATGCGCCGTACACCAAATGATAGCCGATTAAAAAACGGACAAAAAGCCCAAAAAATGGGAAAATGCCTATGGATTTTGATCCCTGATAGCTCCATGGAGGTCTGGATGAGCCAAACTGGAGACACAGTGTCCCAAAGCAAACACCATCCTGGAAAAACCATGAGTTGTGGAACTAAAAAAAATCCCCATTTAACTCAAAATTTGCCTTCTAGCCTAACGCCTCTATGATTTTCGGACTGGTTTCGGCTCAACTCATTAAACAGCTCAATGTTCATTTTCCAAGCGTCTATTAAATTGGGCCCGCTGTAAATTTGTTATTTCGAGCCTGCCAGGCACTCGGTGGATTGAAATTGGATTTCAATTACCCAACACGTAGCCGCAATGTTTTGAGGGCTGCAGGTCGTATCGCTTACAGCCGACGAATTTATACGATTTTTGCATGTATAAAGTTTCGCAAAAAGGCCCTAATCCAGTTAGATCCAGCCGTCTCCGAAATGCCTAAGTCTGCAGCTACTCGACTATTTAGACTACATGGAACTTCAAATTGGATTATTGTAATTAAACTTTCAGCAGCCCGGCAGCTTCCAAGTCCCGAAACTTTGCTCTTTTCATTTAATCCGGTAGTGACAAATTAAAATTAAGAGGAATATGTTTTGCGAGTAATGCAACTGTCTGGAAACTATGGATAATTAAATTTGGATTTAATTCACTCGCTTTTGGAGAGCGTATGGGATTAGGCATTGTGCGAACTGTGCTTATCCCAGGTGGATATTGGGCTATTTTTGCACATTTATCAACCAAAAAAACAAACGCCCTCTTAACTGAAATACTATTTAATAGCATTGGTGCTGGCAGTCCGAGGACATTTATTTCGCGAATTCATCAATGACTTCCATGGCAACCAGCCTTGTGTACGCTGCGCGAGTAGCTTTCTTGCACCAATGCTTCACTTTAAGCGCAACCTTTTTTGTGAACTGGAAATTCGTCCCCAATTTGGAAGACAACATTTTTGACTTTTTGCAACCGATTTCGAAATTTTAAACGGAAAAAGTTAGTCTAATTTTTGGCCTTTTACACGCATTTTGGTTTGTTGAAATCTATCCAATAAAGGCATTTGAGCCTTGATCTTTCCAGCAATTTTCGTTCCTGCTACCCAATATTCACCGTGGTTTTGTACGGTTTAAATTAGACTAAACCTTAAACTCTCTGTAAATATGACCAATTTATAATTAGTGAGTGTTTAATTTTCACATTTAATTCCTGATTGCTGCTATTTTTATATTTGTCGCTGATAGATATTTTGAGCGCTTTACGTTGGATTTTTGCACGTTGCTTCGGTTATTGCGTTGTACTTTCAAGAATGTATTGCTTCATAACTGGGCCAGCCATTAGGAAGAGCAATAGAATGGATGTTCGAGGAAAAATGGCCGTTTTCTTGCAGGAAAATAATGGGAAAAATCACTTCGACCCGAATGGATTCACTGTAATTCTTTCGAGTGGAAATCCTTCTGTCTGGGCACAATATTGAAGTCTTCAGGCACGTATTTTGCTTAAACATTCGAAAATTTCCGGATTCTGTTCGACACTTTTACGTGTCCTGATAACGTCTCGCCGTCATACTGCACACACGACCGATTTCGTCGTTTCATTTTTATTCCCGCTCCGATGAATCTTCCATTTAAGTTCGTGTTTTCGAAAACTTACCGTTTCCTATCCAGAAATTTTGCTTTTATCACCTCGAAATATCCAGTATTCTGGACGGAACTTTTATTTCTGTGTTTCCACATTAGTAATTTGGTGCAACCAACGTGGTCCTGGGCGAGTAGCGGCGACAACAACCGTCGGTTACCCGGGCAACGGGCTTGAATATGACCAGAAATTGGTACATTTTTTGCACCATTGGGCCTGTTGAAACAAAGCAAAAATCTAATAATCATTTACCCATCCACATGTTGTGGGCGAATCCAGGCGTGCTTGCGTTCATAATAAGATTAAACATAATTCTCCATCATCCCCGACATGCTTATTATTGTAAAAGCAGCGTCGAAAGGACGCGCATAAATCAGACGGCGAAATTGTTTCCTTTTGTATCCGAGTGAAATAAGATTATAAATTATTCCTGCAGGATTCCGGATCCATTACGTCGACGTGCTAAGTATCGCAAGTTTGATAAATCAGGGCTTACGTATCTGCAGGGTTTGATTGTTCGCTAACTACCGCATGGAACGTCTTAATGTCTTTGGTTGCGTGAGGCTCTGCCTTTTTCCAGCACTGTGCGAAATCCCATTGGACTTTTTAGAAAAACGATCAAAATCCAAAAAGAAAATGACTAGATGGAGTCAGGACTTGTTCTGTTGGTGTCTTGCAGGTCAATAGTCCAAGTGGGACGTGGACGCAAAATGACCCCCCCGACTAAACTCGGAAATAACCGGACCTGATATACAGGCGTAATGTTTCATTTATATGCTAATTGGTCATTACTTGTTGCTGACGTGGAGGAATAGATACGGAAATGGAAGTTGCCAGGCATTACCTTGCACGACTGCGAAGTTACATTTGCTGGCTTAATTTGGTTCCGGCCTGGATGGGACTAGCTGTCGTTACGCCCTAATGGTACACTTACTACACATGTTTACATTGCCCGCGTCAACCCATCCATGTTGGATTCCGGCCTGGATAACAATCGCTGTACAGGAGGGAAAATCGCGTTAAACAGCCAATGACATCACGTTTTGCCAGAGCCGAAAAAACCAGTTTAAAGCCTATCTATTTCGCGGCAAATCGCTCGCTGTTTGTTTCGCAAACAAAACGGCCTGGATTTATGGCGTGGGAGACAAAATGCGCCGGTTTAAGGCAACAAAACGATTTCTAATACGTGACTTGTTATTCGCAGAAACACATCGCTCAACTCTGTCGCTTCGAAAAGCCGATATTTCATTCAGCTTCCGTTTTTATAATCGAGAAACTGGAAACTGCTCCGGTTTGGAAATGCACCTGAACTTCGAAAAAAGCAGCGTCATGTTCAAGTGGATTTTGCAACTCAAAGAAAACCACGCAAATCTAAAACTTCTTCAATTCAAACCTTTTTTGAGAAAACTGCCAACATTTCCCCATCCATGGTTCACTTTCTAAAAGGCCATTTATTTCTGTCCAGAATGATGTACAAATGAGCGTTCTTG